TATCGAGATCCTCGTGGGTTCCAACAATGGGGCCACTGTCTTCACCAAGTTGGACCTTCGTAGTGGCTACCACCAGATTCGAATTCGGCCAGGCGATGAGTGGAAGACTGCCTTCAAGATCCGTGAGGGCCTTTTTGAGTGGATGGTCATGCCGTTTGGTCTCTCCAATGCACCGAGTACATTCATGCGCATCATGAACCAGACTTTACGTGATCTTATCGGGCGGTGTGTCGTCGTTTATTTCGACGATGTACTTATTTATAGTCGTTCAGTTGAGGAGCATTTGGAGCACGTGAGAGCGGCCCTTCTTATATTACGGCGCGAGTCTTTCTTTGCAGCACCTCATAAGTGTTTTTTCTTGGTCGACTCGGTCCTATTCTTGGGGTTCCTTATTTCAGCCGAGGGTATTTGCGTTGATGAAGGCAAGGTGGCTGTTGTTCGGGATTGGCCTACACCATCTTCCTTCACTGAGGCTCGGAGTTTTCATGGGCTGGCCTCATTTTATCGGCGATTCATTTCACATTTTAGTTCGTTGATGGCCCCGATTACTGATTGCCTCTCGGGGAAGACATTTTCATGGACTGACGAGGCTGCCCAAGCGTTCGACCTTATCAAGCAAAAACTGACGACGGCTCTGGTGCTTGTTTTACCGGATTTTGCTCGCCCTTTCGAGCTCTCTTGCGACGCCTCGAAGGTGGGGATTGGGGCTGTCCTTAGCCAGGACGGGCGTCCGGTCTCTTTCTTTAGTGAGAAACTTTTGGGCCCGAAAGCGAGGTACAGTACATATGATGTTGAATTTTATGCTGTTGTTCGTGCGGTTCGCCATTGGCGACACTATCTTTTTCACAGGGAATTCGTGTTGTACACTGATCATGAGGCTCTCCGCCACTTAGCCTCTCAGGATAACATTTCCACGAGGCATGCTTCTTGGACTGCGTTCCTTCAGCAGTTCACATTTGTCTTACGCCACCGGTCGGGCACTTCTAACAAGGTGGCTGATGCTTTGAGTCGGTGTGCTTTAATTTTGTCCGAGTTGCGAGTGTCGGTGGTGGGTTTTGAGGTTTTGCGGGACGTGTATGCTGAGGACCCATTTTTTGGGCCGATTTTGAGTCGTTTACGTGTCGGGCCTTACGAGGACTTCACTTTGCTGGATGGATTTATTTTTCGTGGGGTTCGTCTATGTGTTCCGGACTGCAGCCTTCGGCAGAAGATCATTGGCCACTTGCACGGGACCGGTCACGTGGGACGTGATAGGTCCGTGGAATTGGTTAGTCGCAACTACTTTTGGCCGTCCCTTCGCCGGGATGTAGGCCTATTTGTGGCTCGTTGTCGGGTTTGCCAAGTCTCGAAAGGCGTCGCGACTAATGCGGGCTTGTACAGGCCTCTGCCTCTTCCTTCCAAACCTTGGCAGTCGATCAGCATGGACTTCGTGTTGGGTTTGCCTCGTACCCAGCGAGGCTTTGATTCTATTTTTGTGGTGGTCGATCGTTTCTCGAAGATGGTGCACTTTATTCCATGCAAGCGCACCACCGATGATGTTCACGTGGCTCAGTTATTTTTTCGAGAAATCTATCGTCTTCATGGCCTCCCTTCTGCCATTGTGTCTGACCGTGATACTCGATTCCTGAGTTATTTTTGGCGGAGTTTATGGCGTATGGTGAACACTCGACTCGACTTTAGCAGCGCTTACCACCCTCAGACTGATGGCCAAACGGAGGTAGTTAATCGTTCCTTGGGTAATTTGTTACGTTGCCTGGTGGGGGATAATACATGTATATGGGACCAGCGTTTGTGCCAAGCTGAGTTCGCCCATAACTCGACTGTGGGCCGGGCTACGGGTCTTTCTCCTTTCCAGATCGTCTATGCCGTTCAGCCGCAGGGGCCGTGTGATTTGGCGCCGCTGCCACCTGCTACCGGGACCGACCGCCGTGCCACGGAGCTCGTCGCGGATTTGCTGGAGACACACGCCGCGGCACGGGCTCGTTTGGAGTCGTCTACCGTGGCTTCCAAGAAGGCTGCCGATGCCCGTCGACGCCACGTTGAATTCGAGGTCGGTGATTTTGTCTGGGCTGTTTTAACTAAGGATCGGTTTCCCGCGCATGAGTTTAATAAATTGTCGGCGCGAAAGATTGGCCCGGTGGAGATTGTCGAGAAGATAAACCCCAACGCCTACCGCCTTCGGCTTCCGTCTCACATTCGTACTTCTGACGTTTTTAACGTCAAGCATTTGGTACCGTTCGTGGGTGATAATTCGGACGGAGACGATACCGGTTCGAATTCGCGGCTGAATCCTTCCCAACCGAGGGAGGATGATGGAGACGAGACCGTGATAGCATTTTTAAATAAATATGATCGTCTTCGTATCCAGCGTTTTATTTTTATTAGTTGTCTTTTGTTTAGTATTGGGCTTTCTTTTTTATTTTGTGGTTATTGGACCTTTATTTATTGGGCTTTGCAGTAGGGGTAATTATCTGATGTATAAAGAATAATTGTCTCTCATTGAAAGAGCAGATTTTGATGAATAACAATTGAAATTGATCGTAAGAATTGTTCTTGTTCTTCCTGCTCATACAAACGCTCTACATCACATTTGGATTCGAATTCATTATAATTTCGAATCTAAAACATCATTCGAATTCGAATTCAAATTCGAATATTTCGAATTCGAATCACAAATATCGAATTCGAATCACGAATGGAATAAAAAATGTTTGATTTGTTTACAACCCTAATCTCGACATCCCAATACCCAAACCTCCAGAAAACAAGTAAAGAAATTAACACGAAGAAAAAAAATGAAGAGCGGCTCAGGCGAGACAAAGTTCGTACAAGAGCTGATTCTGTATGCGGCGAGCGCCGCCATGAGTTGCCTGGTGCTGGTTGTGGGGCTGAAGCAATTGGACCCCAACCGTGACGCCGCCAAAAAAGCTCATGAGCAGAAAAAGGATATTGCCAAGCGCTTGGGCCGCCCTCTAATTCACACAAATTCATACGAGGTTTCATTTGCATTTTTCTTCATATTTGTTATTCAGATATCAGTTCGTATTGTTTTGGTTCTAATATTATATCTATTACTTGCATACACACTGCCACACATATATTCTTTGTTGGTGATAGGTTGTTCTCATTTGGACCCTAATTTTAAAGGTCTTCAGTAAGGTTTAGAATTTTGTTTTTCTTATGGTATGTAAATTTGTAATGGTGGTAGTTTTTTAGATGGTTAAGTTAAGATTTTTGAAATTCCCCTTTGCTGTTGCTGCTTATGATGATCCGGTGATTATGCCTCAAAGTCAAAATTGTTAACATAATGCTGCTTCTTATATCTTGTTCATTGATGCTTATTACATTAATTTAAGACGTTTTGGATCGAAAGCTCAATTTAACCTTATATTTGCATCTTCTTGTTGGATGCTACCATCGACAAATAGATGAAGTTGTAAAGCATTTGGAGACTATATTTTTTTTATTTTTATTGTAGGTCCATATGTTGCGGTTCCTCATGTTTATGATTTTTTATAGGATGTTGTAGCCTGTGATGTAGTCAATCCAGACCATATGGACGTGAAATTTGAATCCATTGGAGGATTGGACGCCATTAAACAAGCGCTATATGAGCTAGTGATTCTCCCACTGCGAAGACCTGAGCTGTTTTCTCACGGGAAGCTTCTTGGTCCACAAAAGGGTGTTTTGCTGTATGGACCCCCTGGCACCGGGAAGACAATGCTTGCTAAAGCAATCGCAAAAGAGTCGGGAGCTGTTTTCATTAATGTGAGAATATCCAACTTAATGAGCAAGTGGTTTGGAGATGCTCAGAAGCTAGGTGCCCATACTTCATCCATCTCGTAAAGTTTTATCATTGTTTTAGACATATGCATTTTTTTATTTGGATAAAGTGTTTTCCTTGTACTGTTTAATGGATAATACTGGTGATATATTTATTTTCATAGTTCTGAAAACTATCATCTTCTTCGTACTTTTCTGTAATTATTGTTTATGGTTTTTGGATTAGAAAAGTAGGTATGTGGGGGCGTTGAATAAAATGAGCTGCATGTGCAGTGATCTAACTTCTAATATCTCTTTAGAACTAATTCATGTTCCAATTTCCATAGTACTGATAAAAGACTTGATCCTCCAAATGAAAGATGAAAGAATATCATGATCCATGTTTCTTAATTTTAATGGATTAATGCAGGTTTTCCATCTTGATATTCTAACCTTATCCCAGATTTTGATTTACTTGTTCCGTGTTCAGTGACTGCTGTGTTCACATTGGCTTGCAAACTCCAGCCTGCTATAATCTTTATTGATGAGGTGGACAGCTTCTTGGGCCAGCGCAAATCTACAGACCATGAAGCACTGACTAACATGAAGACTGAGTTTATGGCTTTGTGGGATGGTTTTACCACAGACCGTACGTGGCCTTTTGATCTTCTTCGTGGATTCTTATCTCTTTTCATCTCTCGCAGTCTCGCTGCTGTTAGCTTAATTAAAATGTTATAGTTATTTATGGTTGATTGACTCCAAAGCATTGGAATATCTTTGTTTATTACTCTACTATACTGGAAAATATTTTTCTGTAATAGTACTATTTTTGTGGTCAATTATAGAACTATCCGAGTAGTATCCAAAATAAATCATTAGGAAGCTACAAATACCCCTAGTGACACGTGGATGAGGGTTATTTATCAGGTAGGCGTAAAACATGAGGGAGACTCGCACAACAGATTAAGGGGTTGGGGATTTTCGTTCGTACTTTAACCTTTAAAAATGGGTGTGTGTGTGTGTGTGTGTGTATTTGTCAATTATTCATTGAATTTTTCATGCAGAACATGCTCGGGTCATGGTAATGGCCGCCACAAATCGTCCGTCCGAACTTGACGAGGCAATCCTTAGACGTCTTCCTCAAGCATTTGAAATTGGGCTGCCTAATCGTAAGGACCGGGTTGCAATTTTGAAGGTTGTTTTAAAGGATGAGAAGGTTGAAGGTGGCATTGATTATGACCGTATAGCCACCCTCTGTGAGGGTTACACTGGTTCCGATCTTCTTGAGCTCTGCAAAAAGGCTGCATATTACCCGATCAGGGACTTACTCGAAGATGAGAAATCTGGAAAACTATCTGAGGTCATTATTCTATATTTGTCCACTCTTTCATCATTTTTTAAGTTTAATTGGCTTCGACGTTTAAATATGAAGTCTACTTACCTTTATTGTACGAAGGCTATTGTGATACCAGTCTATTGTTGAAACCAGGTTAATATAGAAAGGATAAAAGTAAGATGTAAGTTTTGCTGGTTCTTTCCGTTTTTGTGATGTGATGTTTACATATAGACCTTGTAATATCTGGAGGAGGTTATTTCACTTGTTCTACAATAGAAGTCGAGCTGCAGCGTTTTCAATGTAGTTAGCCTGGGTGATTCAGCTTTAGTTTAGTCTATTAGGCTTTTCTCTGTTTTGTTTGTGTTTTAGGCATCTTCCTGTTTCCTGGCGAGCCATAATTCCACTCGTGGGAGCTTCTTTTAGTTTGTAGTGTTTTGTGTGTTTTTGGTTCTAGGCTGCATTTGTTGTAGTCCTCCCAACTAGATTCAGCCACTCGGCTAATTTATTGGGCTGGTTAGTTGTTGTCTAGTATGTACATATGTGTTTATATTATTGAAGCCCCATCGTTCCCAAAAAAAAAATAAAAAAAAAAATGGTTGATGCTCCCCAAATACAATCTTTTGTTGGTGTCAACTTTAAAGGACACTTTACTTTCTTGATATAATAATGAGATTATTGCAAAGCTTACCCTTAAGGTTTTGGTGGTTTGCAAACAATGTTTGTAATTAGAATCACCCCATGAGGAGGTGTTTTTACTTTTTTAATTGAACAACGAACTGAATGTGCAATCCGTGAAATGGTCGAATATGGAGGTAGTAACTGTAAAGGCCTACTAGTTTGCATCTTCCATTCTTTTTAATCAGTATGAAATCCAAGATGGATATTTTTTAATTATTGAAATTCCAGATAATATAATATTCCTGAAGTGCTTGGTTCCTTCAGTATTTATTGCTTGAAGATAATCATGAAAGCAAAACTTCAAGAAAGCGGGATGATACTAACATTTTTCCTTTTTTTTTTTTTTTTATTCGGTGGGGTCTTTCATATCAGGAGCCGAGGCCAATATCACAGTCCGATTTGGAGAGAGTAATAACCTCAACCACCAAGACAAATGCGGCTGCTAGTGGATACAGCAGCAGATCAAACTCAGGTTGGCTGAGGCGAAGGGACTCGGATGACTATCAAGTCCAGGCCGCTATTGGCGAACTTTCTAAACATGTTGTCTCCCAAATTCTGAACCTTCAGTCTGCACCGCAAGATGCTTAATTTCCGTAATTAACTTATTTTGTCTTACGGCATACGCTATTAGGCTGTGGATGGTTTGCGGATATGAAGCATGGAGTAGTTGTAATTGCGTGCTGGTTATATTTTGTTAGAAATATTGCCACATGATATTAGACTGTTGGCTATTTTACACATATACAGTGGTCCTTAAATTATTGCACATAAACTAATCATGATTTTTATTTGTAATTATACAAAAACCTTAAATTTTATTTGCAATTTTGGCTAAAATACATAACTAATCAACTTTTAAAAAATAAATCCATTCTTTGTCACCCTTTTTGTTCATTCTACTTACTTAACCAAGCTTGTTTGGTTAAAAGTTTCATGGGTCTGCAAATTAGTGAACACTCTCTTACTATATCATCTTTTCTTTGCTTATAATGCTTGGCTAAATTTACATACCTATGTCTATTATAACATTACTTTTAGATTTAGGATTGAAGCAATCTTTTATCATCTAAGGCCATCTTGAAAAAAAAAAAAAAAAATGAGCATCCTACCAAAAAACATTTATGTTGTGCGTCATATTTGATCATAGAAATCGTCAAGGTAATATAAATTCCCTTGCTGGTTTTTTTTTTTTTTTTTTTTTTTTTT